ACATACATATAGCTTATACATTGCACGATTGCTATGTTCGGGAATGACGTGAACATGCGTCGCCACATCTCGAAAATGCCGTGGCGCGACTTTATGAGTACATATTAAATTAATTTGATGCCTTTTTCAAGTGATCATGGTGTATAATAAATTGAATTCTCTTCATAATAAAAATCAACAGTAAATTTTTGTATTGATGATGACCATTGACCAAATATACTATTATCAAAAGCTTTAAAAATGAACCATTCGTTAATTTGATTTTTTTATTTCATTACGCCGATCCTTTTACATTCGTTGGCAAATCTGTTGCAGATGAAAAGCCATACAGATAAGTCTGAAAGTGAGATACGATCAGATTTCTGCGCAGTGTATTTCACATTAAACTACTTACCAAAGCTGTTTGAATTTCTGTTTGATTTCCGTATATTATTCGGTGCAAACTAATTAGTCGATAAGCAATTTCTGGTGCCAGGATCTTGGTTAAATCTTCTACAAATATTTCAAGACATTCGTTATAGTCCTCCCGATTAAATTCATACTGCATCTGGCCCATTTGTTTCGCATCTTGTTTTTGTTTTTGTTCCACATACATTACATTCGCCACAATATTTGAAACGTTCCATTCAAAAATCTGACGAAGACACTGAAATGATAAACATGAACTAAGGACGTCATTTAATGCAGATAAAAAAAATCTGCGATAATAAATTGTTTTCTAAGCATAGACACGCATAGAGAGGGCTGTCTATGTTTAAATATTTTAAACGCATATTTTTTTATCTATATTTAATGGCCGCCCGTGATCTACACAATTAAAATTACTTTATAAATCTACTTGCATTTCGAACAAAACAGATGATTCCTTCATCAGGTTTACTCCGTATATATTCTTTAAAATCTGCCATTACATGTAAACTCATAGTTTTATACATTTTGGGCATCTTCTCATCCACAGAGTTCACTTCTTTATCCAAATTCTGGTACCGCCAATATGGTTTTTTTCCTCTTTCCGATAAATACTCATTTTTAAATGATTTTTTGGACGAGTTAAGATAGAACTTAGAATACATCTGGTTAATGGGAATAACAAAGTTGATAACTCTTTAAATATTTTCATTATAATTATAATCAAATGTTATAAAATATTATTATCAAAATTAGAATTATGATCAAACCTCTTTTAAAAATTGCCGTTGTATTTTCACTTGGTCTTGTAGATTGTGTATTTGCTCTTCTAAATTCCGTTCTTGATGCTGATGTTGTAAACTAGCATGTTTCAAACAGAAAAAAATTGATACAACAAACAGAAGCAGCTTCATTTTGCTAGTAGCACGTCCTAATAGTTTCAAAGTACAACTTAAATTCTCAACACATTAAATAAATTCACTATTTTATACGTACGTTCACTTAAACTGAAACGAACTTGATAATCACACTTGAATAGCGAATATACTGAGGACAACTGACCATTATCAACTGCAGTTGACAGCAACTCGAAAAGGAAATGACGCATTCAATCTATTGAAGGGAGAACTTGTTAACTAGGTTAAATTTGATAAGTTTTTCTTGCATATAAGACTTCTGTTGCACACTGGCTCCGTTGGCTTCATTACAGTATCGTGCATAGTAAACATAAAAACAACTCACTTGAAATTTAGTAAACTTATTTAATTTCCCAAATAAAGACAAAATCTTTAATTATTCAAAAACTGAAGGAAACTAAATGGCATAATATGAACTAAGTCCAAGAGCTTGTCTCTTCACAAATAAAACTAATCGATTTCTTCATTATTTCCAATGGCAAAAGATTGATTGAGATGTGTCCATCTGTCCATTCGTAATCTTGACAAGCACTAAAGTCTTTTTTTTCACGAAACGTAGCTTTATCGTGCGTGTCTCCGTGCAATACGAAGGAGATCTGCGATAACTTATCACTGATAATCATGAAAAGCAAAGTAAAACACTTCAGCCGTTTGTATTTATAAATGATTCACTTGTTTATACCGTCATTTCGTCAAGTGAAAGCAGACAGTTATAACTGATTGAAAAAGGGGATTGACCGCATCAAAACCAAATTGAGATAATAATTAAAAAATGGTGCAAAAATAGAACAAAAAAAGAAGTACTTGATTGCTATATCAGTTTATTATTGCGTATTAGCACACATGATCTACTTGTTTGTTCCTTCATAAAATCCTCTTAGTCTTACAGAGATTCAATTCTATCAAAGAAACCGTTAGTACCGCTGTCTTCGTGCAGGCAGCGTTGGGGAATTGTGAGGTTCTATTAAATTTTTTCCACGGTTTAATTCTCTAAAATTGTCATAATGTGGAAGAATAGGCTGAAGACGGTCAAAGTTCAAACGGTCATATTCCACCGATGGCTCGCTTGCTGGATTGATTCCATCGCAGTTTGGTGGCGCTTCGTAAGGTGTCTGTGAACTTGTATCAGATCGTTGATTGCTATTTGGTCGTTGTATTTGTTCGGCGATCCAATGAACGATATGGTCAGGAACTTGCTGAGTGGTTGGTTTATTGCTCTGTTGAGCTTTTAATAAATTGCTCCGTCGAATGATAAACCAAATCCCGGTAATAATAAGTATTAAAACAATGGCAAGAGCGAAAATTACATATTGAATCAAATAATCTTTTTCGTCACTCTCCTTTTCTTCAATCTTTTGATCACACGGGTCTCCGATGACTTGTATTCCGCTCCATTGATGCACAAATTCTGTTGCATAATCACACGAAAGCCAATTTTTCGAAATGCCAAGACTTTTCATCATTGGAAATGTGGAGTTTGACAAATTTTTCAGTTCATTCAAATCATTTCCTTGTAAAAAAGTTGTTCTAAACTTGTGAAATTCGTCGTCAAACTGAGATTAAGTTCATTTAGATGATTGTTGGACAAATCAACTTGTAAAATTTTCTCTGGATGTTCAAATGCGTTAAAATCGAATTTTGTGAGATTTGTATGACTAAAGTTCAATCGTTTGAGATTGTTTAGCCCTTTAAACATGCTGGAGTTGATATGACTGAGTGAATTCCCGGACAAATCAAGTGAGTGAAGCTCTCCAAATCCCAAGCACTGAATGATGATTTCATTAAAATTGTCGATTTGATTACCGGCTGCACTGAAAAATGTTAGCGTATCAAAAAGTGGCATAAAATTCATGGCAAAGATCAATGTTTTTATTCGGTTATTTTCCAGATGAATCATCTCTAATAGAGCGTTGCGAGTAAATAGACCAAAGTCAAATGTCTGCAACAAATTATCACTTAAGTCGATGATCAGTAATCCGCCAAGATTTTGAAATGACGATACCTCCAAAGATTCAATTGAATTATGGGACAGATTGAGAGCTTTTATGGCATCCGGTATTATGAATGATTCTTCAAAAACACTCCGGATTTTATTGTAAGAAAGATCTATTTGATTGATGTAATATGTGTAATAGAACATGTCGCCGATTGCACCGATTTCATTAAAAGATGCATTCAATCTGATCAGATTTGGAAAATTGAAACTATCCGCTATTGTTGATTCGTCATGAGGTAAAATTGTATAGCCCAATGATGGTATATCCAATGAAAATATGTTCGGAAACACTTCAGCCAGACTGGCATCAAATGTCGCTGATCGACATTCATCCGTTTTTAAATATTTCACTTTCGAGCGGCTGATGTTCTTTGATTCATCTTCAAAAAGAGATGAGTAACAACTGTCTCTGACGTAGCTTTCGTTGGCATTGCCGCAAATCAATCCCACCGAGTCTATGCTATTGTTGATGTAATAACAATCGGTTATTTTCTGAACGAACTTTTCTGAATCAATCAACTCTTCACTTTGCCCTTGATTCGTTTCACCAGCTAACGTAAATAATACCACAGTCATAACAATAATAAACATTTTTTTGTCAAAGGATTTCTCAGTGTGAGGTTTTTAAATTCCTAATCGAAATTCGTTGGTTTTTCGCAATATTTCATACTTTTTAATTTTGAATATATGTTTGCTTTTTAGTTTCGTTTTTGTCGTTTAATTGAATTATTTTTTTCGCTTTTCAATTTCCGCTGAGACAAAATTCTAAAGAAAGCGATATGTCCGAGAGGCAAGTTCAAAACTGTATAAATTTTTGCTTCTTTAGCGTGTCTTCATCTCATTTTGCTTATTGACTTACTGAATTCTCGACAGAGTATTCGCAAATCGATAAGAAAAAAAATTCTCGTTACATTATTACGACATCCAGTGCAGTCTACTGTATAGTATAAAGAAAAACTCATGGTGATAAGTCATTACTGATAACAATGAATAACAAGAACAATTTGATGATCATAGAACAGCTTTCAATAGCAATAATCAGTGAAGAACCAATTAGCTGGCTAATTAGCCGCATAAGTGTACACTGGCTAACGAATGTGTAGACCAGTGAAAAAACTTCAGTAAGAACTGAACGCAATCATCTGAACTGACGTTTATGACTGACATTTAAATCACCAGGTCAGAGTTCAAATGAAACCAAACATCGACATTTTTTTTTATTAAGTTTTTGAAAAAAAAATAACTCAAATTATAAAAATGACTTTTAAATTGAAAATTAATTAAAATATATTAATTTTTTTCAAAATTTGTATGATTTGAATCAGAATACGCAAATCAAAAATTATTATACTTTGAATGTACTCATTTCACACAGATAGCTGGCTAACGATTGGCTTACACCAGTTGTTGGTGTAAGCCAAGGCTAAGACAATGCTGGCTAACGAAAAACCATCACTGGCAATAATAGCACGAACCAACAATGAAATAATAAATGGATTAGCAATAAATTTACAATTCACAAAGAAAGAAAAACTCGTACGTGATGTTTGTAGAAATCACCTCTTTTGCTGGTCTGTCTGAAGATATGTAAAGTTTGACGGAATGAAGACAAAATAGAAAAACAATTATTCAAATTCAAATCGATTGTGTTCGCAATGGGCATCAAATATAAATGTTCAGAAAGAAAATATTGTCTTGATAGACGGTCTACTATCATAAAAGATTCACTTTTGAATCAGCGACAAAGTTTGTACAACAGTGGAGCGGTATAAAACTCATCGGCGATCCATGTAATCAAACGCGAACAGAGAATAAAGTGTTTCCAACGAGTTTTCACTATGTCATTCACTGGATTTGTTTTAAGTTATGGTGCTGGTGGGATAGCCGCAATTTTGTTTACACGACGGAAGATTTTCTTACGCAAAGAACGAGAAAGGATTAAAGCGACTCAAGGAGAACCTCAAAAGCGGCGTGAAATAGAATCAAACATGAATGAAGACATCGGAACACGATTGGAGAACGACGGGCAAACTGTTTACATCGAGCCGATATACTGTGAAATTGGGTCGATAGCAACAAGAGATAACAAAAGTCATTATCACAATGCAAACGCTATCAAACCGAATGCTCAGTTTATCTAGGGACAAACACTGCATTTTAGCAAAAACTATTTATCATTTTCGATTGCCATAAAAATATCAGTAAATTATTGCAATAATCATGATGTTGATGATTGATTGTGCTTTTTAATTGATTATTTTTCTTATTATCGCACAATTAATCTCTTAGCTAAATCCGCGTTTTTGTCTACCTTTAAAGGTAATAATCGATTAACTTATCAGCTTGAGCTTGTTGTAAATCTACTCGAAAGGTGCGAAACTTCTTTGGAAATTGTTTTTTTATCATTTTTTCTACGAACATTCAACAAACATGTTCAAACGTTATTGAAGCATGGACAAAACGAGTGATTTCGGACAAAAGTTTAGTTAAACTTGTACAAAAAATGATCAAAATTATTTTAATTTTAGTGAATATTACGTTGATTTGTGGATTGGTGAGTCAAGGTCAAAAGCGTTGGTATGAAAATCAAAGCCAATTGGATGGATCCAAAGTATTTGTTGAGAGAATTATTGATTATGAAGCGAATTTTTTTTTCAACAATGTAGAATCAGTGAAGCTACTATGTGACTATTTCAGAGGGAATTCCTCGAAAGACGATTGTTATTCAAAGCTGTTCGTAGATGAATCGAGAAATATCAGTCGATTAAATGTGAAAGAATTGAAAACTAATCGATGTCCATTAGGAACACTTGACGGTAATTTAGTAGAAATGTTTCCCAATCTAATTGCTCTGGACATTTCGTTCAATGGAGAGCCTTTAAATTGTGACAGCTTCGACTTTCAATATTTGGACAAATTCAATGGATCATACAACAAAATGGATCGTGTGTCTCCATGCCGAGGGAATCTGACGGAAATTGATGTATCGCATAACGTTATTGAGAGAATAACATCGGATTCATTCAAAGACCTGAGAAATTTAACGATAGTCAATTTATCTTTTAACAACATCCGCATGATCGCCGCCTTGTCATTTACATATCAAACGCAAAACGTTTGAAAGTATTGCATTTGGAAGGGAATTTTTTGACAGAATCAAATGGCATTTCAATTTTAACATTCCCGCAACTTGTCTCATTGGGCATTTCGAAGAATAACTTTTCGTGCGTATGTAATAGAATTCGTACTACATTGTAATCTTCAATGGAGTAATATTACATTCATTGGCAATCCGAGTGACCAAAGATACCAAATTATTGATAACGTGAAATATCCTATAGTCTACTCATTCGTAATGGCATTGTGCAGTATCGTGCTTATAATCATCGTTTTTAGTTGTTGGAAAATTTTTGCTAAAAGGAAGGTCAAAGAAATCGACAACAAGTGTTATGGAAATTCAACGCAACCGTTTCCGGAGGATAATTTTGACAAACCCAACGCCATTTCCATCATTGAACCTATTTATTATGAAATTGAGCCGTTGCCATTCTATGTTGATGCATACGATCATTTGCAATTCAAACCAATGCCGACAACTCACATACAAAACCATTATCACAGAGTAACCAAACGGAATTCGAAGCATAACTTGAGTAGTGAATAAATGAAGCTTTTCGATTTATATAATTCAAAGCATACATTGTAATATTCGGTGAATGCCACTGAAAAAATATTCATACTTATTTAGTGCGTGAGACGCATGGTCATGGTCACTCATTTAGTGAGTGAGACGCATGCGGATGAGATGAAGCAAAGCGAAAGGGAAGCGCGCAACTAGAACATAGAGTCAATGGGTACTATGTGTTTGTGTTTGTGTCCGTATTCTAACGACGGAGTGACGAAATGTATGCGCGCTATATCGTTCGTTCGTATGGAGTTGCCCCGCTTCTCTTTCGCTTTGTTTCGTCTCATCCGCGTGCGTCTCACTCACTAAATGAATGACCATGACCATGCGTCTCACGCACTAAATAACTATGAATATTTTTTCAGTAGCTTTCGCCGAATATTACAATGTATGATTTCAAAGCAATGATGTGTTCGCATGATTCAACTTATCAATCAATGATGATAGTGAGCTATCAGCAGGATATGCTATCACCGAAATTTATGACGCAAAAGTGTTATCAAATTTGTTCAGTAGTTTATTCTGTATCAATCGTATATGAGATTGGTTTTTTGTAATATATTTTTGATGATTGCCTGGAGAAAACTCTTTATTTGCTTTTCAGAACTGAACTAACAGTCAGCTAATGGTGTCAGAAATACGATCATTCGTTCAATACAATTTTTTTTTTCACGAAAAACAATTTTCAAATTTGGATAGAATAAAGTTGAAAAACAATTAATGCTGAATAAAAACTGAGAAAAAGAATCTCTGAAACTCACAAAATATTGTTTGATAGAAATAATGAAGCAGAAAGATGAACGGTAATAATTTAGCCTTTTTTAAAATCAAAAGCATTCTGTGCTCATTGCTATCTTGGTACAGGTATTATGTCGATCAAAAAATAGTTCAAAATTTTGTAGAAAGTTTCGACTTTGGTTCAAATACAGACTTCAATCTATTTTATTATCCAATTTGGAATTTTATTATCTATTTTATTATCCATTTAACTGTTTTCCTGTTCAGTTTGTTTGTTTTCATGTTCAAACGAACAGACGGCGCTCGCGTTAGGTATGACAATAAATGCTTTTGCACTAACCGTATGTCAACAACAGTTGAGGCCACAAGAACAACTCGAAAAGGAAATGACCCATTCAATTTAATGAAGGGAGAACTTGATAACCAGGTTAAGTTTGATAGCTTTTTCTTGCATATAACATATATTCTGTTGCACACTGGCTCTGTTTGCTTCATTATAGTTTTGTGCAATACAATCTTATGCCAAATTTTATTGATATTCAAAATGAATTGCATGAATACATTTCTTTTGTATTTACTTCGGTATGTACATTGATGACAGCTAATGGTATCAGAAATTCGATTATTCCTTCAGTACATTTTTTCAATTAGATTTTTTGCCGTTTACACTTTAGTGTGCCCCGAGTATGTTGCGCTGTAAACAGGTTTCGCTCTCTAAGAATATTAAATTTGATGACGTATTTCATATTTCCGACGCAGACCAGACAATGCCATTAATAGGACTAGAGTAAACAATTCGTGCTATTTTTGGATCGAGAATATTCGCGCATTTCCGACTCTACTCCATCAGCACAGCAAAAATTGTCTTATTTTTTCAGCAAATTGCGACGGTCAAGCTTATAATTTGTCAACCGTGAATAGCTTAAATTATTGAAGAAATAAATCATCGCAGATGTCTTACAAGAGATGTTTTGAATTATAAAGATTCATTGCAGAAGGCATTCGGTGATTTAAATCAAGATTGCGATAAAAAGATATAGAAATGGAAATTCAGCCAAAAAAAGACGCTCAAAAATTATTCAAATTGGTAATACTTTTATTTATTTCTTAATTTATTGGTGAATATCTGCTTGTTACAACTAATTAACTGGAATAAAATGCCGATCTGCACCTAAACATCGACATCAACGTCAACAAACGGTGCACTGACTTTTGTTTTGACAACTGAATTGGATTTGGTTGCAACTGGAGCTGATTTCACTGTTTTGACTACGGTCCTTGTTTCAACCGGAACAGCTTCTTCTACTTCATAAACAACTGGCTCATAAACAACTGGGTCGACAACAACACTGGCGAATATAAACGGGAAGATGAATCGTTTATTCCGATTTACTTCGTTCTCTGTTTTGTCACTCGGTGGATTCGCTTCAACTGAGTGAAGTGAATTTTTTTCTTCTGTTTGTTGTTCGAGTTGCAATTCTGGCTGTGTTTTTGGTTCACTTTCACCTGACGGGAAAGCAACAGCAACGGCCACAAATATGACAAACAAATATAATATTTTCATTTTGAAAATTCTGCAAATGAGTGGAGAAAATGTTGTAAATTTTAGATTTAAGTTGAAAGAAATTGATTTTATCAGTCTTTTAAATAAAATGTCAAAAAATAAAATGTTTTTTTCTTTCTTTTTTTTTGACAAACTTTGATTTGCCTAAAAAATTATCCAAATGCTGGAAAAACACTTTTTTCGCCAAATTTCGAAAGAAACAAAGATAAAAACCAATAATGTTGAACAAAAACTGAGAAAAAGAATCGGTGAAACTCACAAATTAATGTTTGATGATAAAATTGAAACGCACGTGATATATCACTAGAGTCAAGTCTAATATCTGTATTGTGTGATGTCTTTGAATTAACTGATTGTCAAAAGTTCTAAGTTACTTTTATATACAGCTCTAGCTCAATGATACATACTGCTAAAGTCCATTGCACAAATTCCACTACGTATGCAAAAGAAAAAAAACCCATCACCACAACCGAAAATATGCAAATAAGACGATAACATGTTGACAGCACAATATCTCTGTTTTAATCGCTAGTTAAGCCATTCAATTTTGGTATCACTAAGTAAACAAATAAATTTTATTCAGCTAAATTGAGACGAAGTCTATTTTTGATACGATGGGAATTAAGAAGGCATAAAGAATCGATGTTTCGAAGAAAAAAATGGAAGCAAGGAACTTTCCAATTCTTTACAATCAACAAAAACAACAATTAACGGACGTAAAAACCGGAATGACTGATGCTCTTTAATCTTTTGAATTGTTCATGTGACCACAACCTACGATGCATGGTGCTTAATTTTGCTGAATCATTGAATGCAAAAAGGGCACAACAATAACTTCCTTTGGGGCAATGGTCAGATTTGCAACGTTCTCAAGACATTTCTCATGACAATCTCCCTTTACTCTTTTCGGTTTATTCTTTTCTGGGAATCAATTGGAATCGATGGCGAATTTTCTAGTTTGAATTAATGAATCTGAATTTGTTGGATATTTCAAATCTTTTTACATCAACCATTTTTAACCACATTAGCATATTTTTTCATAGCCCGTTAAATTATTATAGTCGCTCAAACGAAGATTGATGAATTTATATTGCGAATAATATAATAAATGGCGCTAATATTATCGTTCAAATTGAACGGCGTTCGAACTACCAAATCGAAATAATAGCTCATTGTCATTAATGCCAAGGTCGCTTTCTGCGTATACAAATACATGGGGAAAGATTTGACGTAAGACGCCGAGACGCCTCTACGCGTAGAATGCTCGAAGCTGTCATCGTACACATATTGAACACGAACATTGTCGTTTACACAATCGCACTCACAAAAATGAACGCATCGATAGTGCCCGCTCAATATATGTACGGTGACTGTTTTGAGTGTCTCTCGCCTAGAGTGCTGCGTGTCGTTTTTCTTCGTTTATTAAGCGATCTTGTTAATACACACGGGTATTTATTTTAACTATTGAAATTGCCACGATGTAACAAATTAAGTTGCTGCCCATTTTTCTCCAAATCGATAGAAATTGTCAATGTGTCCAAAACGCATAAATACGGCATCGCATAAGGCAGTTATCGCATAAATATCGCGCGATAATTTTCTGCTTGCGTTGCCGCAGTATACGATATTTCAATAGCCGTCTTACGACGCACGTTCGAATTGCTTTACACATATAACGAAGCGGACGCAAGCGAGCGTCACAAGATGACGGCCATTGAAATATCGTATACTGCGGCAACGCAAACAGAAAATTATCGCGCGATATTTATGCGATAACTGCCTTATGCGATGCCGTATTCATGCGTTTTGGACACATTGGAAATTGTATTGGCGTTTCTGTTCACCTCCCACCTAAAGACACCGAGATAGTCTATAATATATTCAATCGAAAGGCTTGCCTTACATTTTGCCTTTTGGGATTAAGTCAAGAATTATTTTCGTTGAATAATTCCACCTTGGTTCAAGATCAAGGTCATATTCATGAACATTTCATTAATGGAACTTAAGTCGAGCAAGCATTTCAATTTCATTTTCAAACAATTTGAAAAGGTCATGCCTATGTTTTTTTGGATTGAATTTACGATAGAGACGCTTTAAATGTCAGAATAAAATTCGAATATCAAGAAATTCATTCAAAAGTTCAGAAATGAAAGAGATCATGTTCTTCTTTTAAAAAAAAAAATCATTTTATTTATTCTTATGGTTGAACATATTGCACACTAGAATCTAAGATAGTATAGATTAAAATTACGGCACGAAGACGGATTTTTTATCGGCCAACAGAAACATCAACGAATGGAGCACTTACTCTGACCGCGGCTGGCGCAACTGCATATGATTTTGACACCACTGCTGAAGTTGCTACTGGAGCTACATATGTGGTCTCTACAGCGGCTGGGGCTGTATAAGTTTTGGTTACAACTGGAGCAGCAACAGTTCGCGTAACAGTTTTAGTTACAACAGGCTGGGCATAAACAACTGGCGAGGCAACAACGCTGGTGTATGCCACTGGAAATGGATAGAAGAATTTTGAGAGGAACAAATGGCGCTTGGCGCGCTCAGCTTCGCTTTCTTCGACATTGTCCCCTTTTGGATTGCCTTCGACTGCGGAAAGAGTGTTTTGTTGCTCTTGTTGTTCTGGTTGCAATTCTGGTTTTATTTCTGCTTGGCTTTCAGCTGATGGAAAAGCGGCAGCTACAGCAATGAACAAAACGAAAACAGCGAACACTTTCATTTTTGACTTATGGTTCTGGAAAATAAAAGATAAATACACATTCAGGGAAATGATCATAAGGTAATAAAAATAACACATTTTTGATGAACAACTAACAATTTCTACTTTAAAGTTCTTGAATTGAAGCAAAAAGAAAACTTTCAAATTTTGAAAATACCAAAATGAAAACGATTCATTAAACAAAACAAAGAAAAACACTTTTCAAACGACGAACAATTTTTTTTCCTCCAAAATTCAACAGAAATTATTGAATCAAACATATTTTTCCACTCTTAAATTTCATCAGAAATTTAATAAACCAAATAAAAACGAACAAAATGCAAAAATAAAAGGTGAAACTTACAAATAACAAACTTTGGATGAAAAAATAAAAAATTCTTAACGAGAATATTTGTAAATGAACACTGATCAACTTGTAGTCCAGCTACTTGTGTTTATTGTGAACTAAGCCAATCGACTGATGGCTGAAAGTTTCGAAGTCCTCCTATATATACGTTGAATTCATCTCGCTGAATCGATAAGATATTTGCTAAAAGTCCATTCCACCGCAAATGGAATAAAAAACCCAAAGAGTGGAAACAGAAAACAAGCTAATGACGTACATATGAGCAAAAGTGCATGATTTTTTTTCATCTCGTCTGTTTTCCCATTATAAGATTGGCGATCATTAGAGCGTTACGTAAACAAAAGATGCCATTAAGCCAAAATTAATGTAATCTATTTTTAAGTTGAACTTTTTTATCGCTTCTCTGCTTAGAACTGAAGAACGATGCTAAGAAGCTTTCCAACTATTAAACACAAACAACAACAAACGCATGTAAAAAAAAAACCTGAATTTTTAAAATGATACTCGTTGATTAATCAATTTGTTAATGCGACCTCTCTCTAAGGCGTCGCAAAATCCAAAACATTTTATGATTCAATGCGAAAAGGGGCAAAACAAGAATAATAACAAGGTAGAGAGAACAAGTATCGTCATATCAATTGCGGGTCATCGTCACTATTGACATCGTAATTGAGCCATTGGATTTACAACGTTGGAATTAAAATGTTTTTTTCCTTCTTAAGATTTAAGTCAATTTGAATTTGGAGACAGAATCAAATATAGTAGCATGAGAACTATTAATATTCCATAGTTGAGATCAAACCTTGATCTTGGTCTCGATAACGTTTCTATGAAACCGGTTTTATTCGTTGAACAAAATTTGAATCGGTCAAGCCTACATCTATCGACCGAATGAGATTCGAAGCTCCCAAACTTTACAATCGAAAACGTTTTTTTGAACCAGAAAATTTATTTTTTATACAATATTCTGTCATGTAACATAATTTTTTGATTTTTATTCGTTATTTTCTCGATTTTCCCGTCTATTTTGATACGCTTAACTATGGATTATTATTATTTGTATTCATTTACTTTTGATTTATGCATGAAAAAGGCTTTGATCATCATAAAGGCAATTAAACGAGAACCGAAACAACTTTGGTTCTGGTTACAACAGGTGCATAGACTGGATAAGAATATACAATTGGCCATGGTGCACGGACAAAAATGAATCTTTTCGCACGTTCAGCTTCGCTTTCTTCGGCACTGTCACCTTTTGGGTTGCCCTCGACTTCAGAAAGAGTATTTTTTTCTTCTTTCTTCATTTCAGTTTGCATTTTTGTCTGTGGCTCCGAATCAGGCTCGCCGGTTGGAAATGCGACTGCGACGGCAGCAAATAAGAGGAACACAACAAACACTTTCATTTTGCGCTTTGAGTCTGGAAATTAAATGATAATTTTTGTCAACTACATTGGAATAAAATATAAGAGTTGAAGTTTCTGAAGAAAACACTTTGAACAAAACCTAAATGTGGTTTTTCTGCTGAATGTTCTAAACTCAGAATAAATTGTTAATACAAAATAGTTTAGAATAAAAGATTTTTTTCAAATGGCACAAATGATAACATTAGCACTTTTTGAAAAAAATAATCCGTAATTCTAATCTCGTTAAAAAAATGAATAGAGAATTTTAAATGAAAATCGAAAATTGATCACTTACGTTGACGATTTCAGCAAATCAAATGAATGTTGACAATTAAAGGTCCTCCCTTATATAAGGTGCTAGAGCCAGTGGTTTTGTTTTCTAAAAGCTACTATCACGTCACACCTTGTTTGCTACAATAGTTGAAAAAAGCCACATCTGAATATGAGATGACAACAATGTTTACAAAAATGCAAACGAAAAATGCATTCTTTTTCTTCTCTTTATTTTATAAATATTACGCAAATTAAAGAAAAAATTATTCCAAAAATATGTTCTATTTTTAGTTTATTGTGAATTAAAACGCGAAGCTAAGAAACGAAGTTCAATTGTTGTTTACATCGATGCAACAAAAACAACAACAGTCCATGACGAAACTAAACGTAGTTTTTTTTTTTTGGCAAATATCGCCATATCAATTACGGGTCATTGTCACTATAGTTATCGTAATTGAGTCATTGGATTTGCAACGTTCAAACGGATAGAATTACAAAAATTTAAGTTCAAATTGAATTCAGTTACAAATTTAAAATATGAGATCTATCATTGTTCCATAGTTGAGATCAAATCTTCATCTTGGATAACGTTGCTATGAAACTGGTTTTATTCGTCCAACAAATTTGAATCGGTTAATGTTAAGTTGATTTATGAACCGTGAGATATGCAAAGTATTGAAAACTATCGTTTCTAAATTGAAATTTTCACATTTTTTATGAAAAAAAAACTGGTTAAAATGAAACATTTATTTTTTAGATAATATTTTGAATAGTACAATGTCTATTACTAGATATTCATCATTTTCTCGTTATTTCTCTTTATTACTCAATGAAGCAGCGGACTTGTCGGCACACTCGTGGATTTAGCATTTCACTTGCTTTGGCGATTCGTGAGTTGCTGAAGCATCATATATGCAGTGCACTCGATATTTAACGTGAAAACCTATATTCGGTACAGCGTCGCGTAAGCAATTCACTTGCGATATAACGTGAATTCCTATATACTATATATCGCAAGTGAATTGCTTACGCGCTAAGCGCAAACGAAATCATACCTCGGCCAACTTCGATGTACCGAATATAGGTTTTCACGTTAAACAGTTGCTTCGGCAACTCACGAATCGCCAAAGCAAGTGAAATGCTGAATCCACGAGTATGCCGACAAGTCCGCTGCTTCATTGAGTATTACTGATTATGTGTATTCATTTAGTTGTGATTGGTGTACGAGAAAAGGTATTGATCATCGTAAAGCAATTAAACAAGAACGGAAACAACTTTTGTTCTGGTTACAACAGGTGCATAGACTGGATAAGAATAAGCAATTGGCCAAGGTACACCGAAGAAAATGAATCTTTTCGCACGTTCAGCTTCGATGCCCTTGTTGTCTCCTTTTGGGTTGCCCTCGACTTCAGCAAGAGTGTTTTGTTCTTCTTTCTTCAATTCAGTCTGCATTTTCGTCTGTGCCTCCGGTTCAGGCTCACCGGTTGGAAATGCGACTGCGACGGCAGCAAATAAGACGAACACAACAAACACTTTCATTTTGCGCTTTGAGTCTGGAAATTAAATGATAAATTTTGATAAGCACAAATTGTGAAATAAGCACTTTCAAAAGGAAAAAAAAGGTTAAATATCAACGAAACTGGACCGAAAATTCAACATCCTTAAGGATTCACAAAAATGATAAAAAAATGTAAATGAAAATCGAAAATCTTACAGAGACTTACATTGACGGCTTCAGAAAATAAACTGAATTTCTAGAATCATAGGATCTCCCTTATATATGGTGCATCGTGGCTGAATCTCAGTGGTCTTGTTTTCTGAAAGTTATTGCCACGTCTTGTTTGAAACCGCAACCGAAAAAAGCCACAGTCCAAAATACAATGACGAAATGTTGACAAAAATGCAATATTTTTCGTGTTTGTTTCTTTTTTAAGTTTACAGCGCTAGTGTTTCAGATTAAATGAAATAATAATATTTCAGAATACGTAAAACACAACAAAGTCAGTAGAATTCACAGTGTGATTAAACCAAAATTATGGTTTATTTTTAGTTTATCATGAACAAAAATGCGAAGCTTAGAAACGAAGTTCAATTGTTGTTTACATCCATGCAACCAAAACAACGACAGTCAATGACGAAACTAAACGTTGTTTTTTTTTGACATACTGACCAAAAATGTTCACAATTTATGTCATTTAAATTTTTTTATGGAAAAAATAGAAGAGGGTTTCTTATGCTGAACGTGCGTAAAAACTCGAAGATTAGAATGATGTTTGTTATTAATTGAACAGTTTGTTTATGTGATCGCAAACCCTGTAATGTGTCTCAAGATTCGAAGTATTTTGTGATTCAGTGCAAACCATTGTCATCTAAATCAAGCCATCAGATTTGCAGGGCTTAGACGAATATTTTTTTCAAGGTAAATTGAATTGGGGAGACAGAATTGGAACAAGAGTATTTCATAGTTATCATTAAACCTTGATCTTGATCGCAATAACGTTGCTTTCAAACCGGTTTTATTCGTCCAAATAAATCAGTCAAGTTTACATTAATGTACTAGAATATGCTGGTCACTCTCCTACTTTCGTTCAAGAAAAAATATTTTGTATAAATTATAACATATTTTTGTGTTGGATATTCGTTATTTTCTCGTTCTTTCTCTGGTATTTTGTTACGCTTATTGATTATTTTCATGTGTTTTCATTTCTTTTCTCATTGCAGTGTGACTCTTCACACTAGCAATTAAAAGTAATAAATTCTGGTTCTGGTTATGAAAGGTGGATAGTATGGGTAGGAATTATAATAATTGTTAATAATACGACCAAGGTAGGCCGAAAAAAAATCTTTTGGCTCGTTTAGCTTCATTTCCGTCGTTGTCTCCTTTTGGATTGCCGTCAACTTCGGGAAGAGTATTCTGTTCTTTCTTCAGATCTGTTTGCAATTCCATCTTTTGTTTGGGCTCATTCTCGCCGGATGAAAATGCGACAGCAACGGCAGCAAATAGGAAGAAGACAATAAACACTTTCATTTTCGCTTTGTTTCTGGAAATAATATTGAAAATAAAAACGATTTACGCAGGAGAACACACTTCAAATGAAATTTAATGTTAATTTCCTTCTGAATATGTTGGGTTCAGAAAACTAAACTGTTGATAAAATATCTAGGGGAATTTAACTCTTACGAGTTCAGCATGTTTTTTGCCAGTTTGCTTGATTCGCGGGAGTTCGACGCGTTCCTTGTACGTACTGACGCGCACGGTCACAAGTTTACACAAGTTTGTTTATGGTTTTGCGCGTTTTTCAAGTTGTTATTTGACAATTAAAACGCGTTTCAAGCTAAAAATCGGTTGTTTACGTGTATAAAGATTTTTCACATCCTTTCCAAAAGTTCAAAGATTTATATAATTATAAAATGGACAAAGGAAATATTTTTAAAGAGCTGGAGAAAGTGTTGAAGAAAAAGTTAATCCAGATATAATAAATGGAACGACTGATGTGTGCGCGTCGTCCAGCTACAAGTTTGCACACGAACTCGCGCGCGTTCGCGCATGTTGTTTTTATACGGAACTTGTCAACTGAGTGGAATCATGCAAGTTCTCTGGTGAATGTAACAATTTCGTGCGCGTTTATATCATTTTTTTACAAGTTTTCACGTAGTTAAATCCCCCTAGTAAAATATACATTATGTTAAATGGAAAAAACAGTAAAATAAACACTTTTGAGAGAAAATGATCTCATGTAACAAATAAAAGTCAGCACAAAACCAAAACACTTAACTATTCCAAAAAACTTAAAACTGATAAAATCGAAAATTGTGCAATACATCGATCACTTACGATTTCACCAAATCAACTGAATGTCATCAATCATTGTTTATTCCTTTTATAATGAACATCGGTGCTGAATCTTAGTGGTCTTGTTCTTCAAAAGTAATTAGCACGTCTTATTTACAGCCATAATTGAAAAAACGATAACAAAATGATAAACAAAGTCTAGTTTAAAGTTTGGTAAAGTTCTGAGAAAAAAACACTTGTTGGGCGCTCGGAACCAATTTATACTCTAAATGTCAAATCCATTGCTGTTTATGAAGTGACGAAACTGAGTTTTTGCATCCAACCAAAAATTGGCACAATTTAATTTCTTCTAATGGATTAAGGGGATTTTTTGCTGAATATCAGTGTGCAAAAACTTTAAAGCTTAGTTTACAGTTGGCCATGCAGGAAAAATTGAAAAATCAAAAAAAATTCTTCATATCGTTCCTAAATCTCCTCTTGATATAACGTACATATCACATCGCCCTAATAAAAATAACCGATGCACTATAAATGGATTCAAGTTTTTTTTGAATGCAAACCTCCCTTGAACATTTTACGAACTTTAAAGTAGGCTTAAGTCTGTTATTAAATCAAATTGTTCATGAGACTGCAATCACTGAAGCGCAGCGGTCAAATCATTTCCAATTCAGTGATACATTCTTTTCATTCAATTTTTATTAAGTATAAATTAGGTGCTTTTATTCAATTTCCATATTTGATATAAAATGAATAGTGTAAATAAGGATGATTCTGTTTAATTAATTACTTTTTGGTTATGAAGGTAGCAATTTAAACAATAAGTCAATAATGTGTGGACAGTGAATGATGTCAATGATAAAATCATAGAAGAATGATGCGTTGACACGTCGTCTTTGTAGTGATTGCATTTCAAGCCTTGACAGTCATTGGTCACAGCCCGAAATTGTGTAGTTGTTTCCAGCATTTTGATATGCTCTCAAAGCGAACATGGAAAACCGGATGAGAATACTTTGAATTTGGCCTTTGTTGAGCAGGAGACATACGACATGACACCAAAAACCGATTGAACTAACGCATAGTAGAGTGATTTGAGTGTTGGTATTAAATATGAATTCACGTCGTTGAGTATTTATTAATTTGATGAAAGGTAATTCAGATAACGCAGTAAACAGTTTTTTTAGTCTCATACTAAAAATAATTAAAAGCCGCTACCGATAACAAGTATACGTTTCTACGTGTATCAACGCAACTCCATTCAATAAATTATTTGCGGCTTCTAAAAATATTCGATTTTAATTCGCGATGACGTATTTTGTTAATCCAGATGCGGAGAAACTCTGAACGTATATTTCGGTATCTTAATCAGACAAAGCGAATGGTAAACAATCAATGGTGTGAAGAACCGTCGAGACCATTTGATATTATGCATAATATGTAGCACGGCGGATACCCGCACAAAGAGTAATATGTTTGTCTCAGCTGTTCTTCACACATGTGGTGGGCGCATCGATGGAATTGGCCAACACATTATCATATTAATGGGCCCATTCATTTGCTATCTGAACCGTACGAACATCAACGTGTGGCGATCAAAACTATGTTTTGTTTTGATAAATCATAGAAGAACAAGAAGTTCGTCATCGAATCCTACTTTCCAAAAGAGTTTTTTTTCAATTCCGTACACTCTTCGTTTTATGCGTCAAACGGAGAGATTTTCTCAAAAACAAATCTCGATCTTTCGAAAAAGACATTTGTGAAGAAAACAGTTTTTTTTGTGATAGTTTCAATGAATTATCCAACGATTTATTCGCGAGCCGTAAGTTGAGTGGAGAGAAACTGAAGACGATTGTAAGACAGCGAGAGCGGATAAAAGAGATGAAAGAGAATAGAGTGAGCTCTATTTATCTTCTTCATTTATCGGTTCAATATGTTTGTTTATAATTCCATCCAATATTTAAATTTTCGTAGAAATTAACTAATAATCAGAATGATGCTAAAGATTCGCTAAAATCGAAGAATCTGGAAAAACCAAAACACCTCATTTCAGAGCATTTCGTCTACTCATACAATTAGAACTAGTGTTAAGCTTACGTATCACATTTAACCCGTTTTGACTAAAAACATCGACGAAACTTAAATGAATTGAAATTTGTATGAATCACTTGAAAAACCTGGAAAACATTTCGATTTTAAGCACTTTTGAATATCTGAAAGAATTTAATGTAGGAAAAAACCAGATGCGAAATAGAAATCGTCACATGGAGGCAAAACAATACCAAACAGCATAGAAATAGTCAGTTTGAATCATCGGAAAATTTTGTTGGGATTTTGAATGGTTCAACGTTTAGCAACTTTACCGAATTACAAGATTTGTGAGTGACGCACTGGACTGTTATTCGGAGATTTAGACTCCAAGGTTCTACTCTTTGAAAGTCTTCCATTTCGACAACTAAATTTCAATCAATCATCATCAAAAGAACCGAGTTTTGAATATTTAGTTAAAATAAACGATTCAAATCATTCAAGCACAATTCGCGCCATTCATCTTCAATCAAAAACACATCCAAAGCTATATATCGAAGATATTCATCCGAAGATGTGTATCCATTCGAATCGTTAGAAAAAATTTGATAACGCTTGATAATTCTTACCCTCATTTGAATAAAGTCAATTTCACATCGCTTTCGCGGACATTGGTAATATTTTAGAAGAATTAAACGCTGAAACATTCAAAAATCAAAAGAACTCACGCTACTTAAGCTCGGCGAATATAAACCTTTCAACGTTCAACATAAAATATCAAAGCTATCTGCAAGTGCTTAATATTTCACACAACTACTTAACGAATACTACTTAACCGCCAAGTCGGTATTTAGAGCTTTATCTGGAAAGGAATAATTTAAAAGAGCTTGATCATTTGAATGAAATAGAAGAATGAGAAGAAATTGAAGACAAAGAATATAAAATATCACGAATTTCAACTGAACAGATGGAAATTACAATCATGTTTTGTTTGATACCAATCCAACACTTCGTTCAACCATTGTAACCATGTCAGTCTATTTAAAATGAAAATTTTATGAAAATGAGTGACCATTTTTTTTTTCAACCAGTCAAAATAACGTTTGAAGTTGACTAGTATGGTATAGGTATGATTTTTGTCAATTGAATTTATTTATTTTTTGAAGATCGTGCTTTTAAATAGTATTTCATGATAATGGATACTATTTTCTGAAAAGGTACAATTTTAATTAGTGTTCAACTGTTGATATAATTCATAAGAAAGTTAAATGTTCATATAAATAAACATGATTCGAAAATTTTGGTATTTTCATTTGAAATGTTGTGAATTTTCTCGATATGATATCGGATTGAAGAACAAAACGATACAGTAAAACCTCCAAATAGTGGACTCGCTCCGGCCAAAAATTGTTTCCACTAACTCGAGGTTTCTCTTAAATAGAGGTTCCACTATTGGGAGGTTTCACTGTACTAGAAATATTCCATTGTGTTTTATGTACTGTCAATGATATACTTCCAGGCATTTTGATTGGTTCGCACAATATTCAGTGATATACCATTATCAGTACGGTAATTAACTTGCCTGTCCCGTGTTCCTATTGGCTCGGTGAGTAATTCGAACAAGCCCGCACAATTGTGTTTCATTGCTGATAACAATGGAAAAATGTGATAAATCGTTTAAACGTAAACGAAGCTATTCAGCTGCAGCAGACTTACTGCATGAGCGAACGGTGTAAGTTACATTCCATTGGAATGATGGAAATGAGGGGACATTGGTTCATATTTTGTGTTTTTATTCGTTGGAATTAGAATACAATTGTTCAGTCTCTTAATTCCTGGTAGATGTTAACTTATTTCATCAAAACAAATCTTCAATTTACAATTTAAATTGGTTAAAAAAATCTTTGATTCGATGAAAACTTCACAAAGTTTCTTAACTTGATTCTAATCTCAATTGACTTATGATCTAAATAAGTATGCACAATATAATTTTTTTTCAAAGTGTCATGCCAAAAGTGAATGTTTAATTTTTTGATGGAGTTCTAAGGGCTTCCAATAAAATGAATTGAAAATACTTGGGGAGTTACACATTGACTGTCGATAGAATAGAGTGCGTGTTAGCAAACAAGTTAGCAAACGGTTTACATGTTGATTTCGATGGTTAACTCATTTCCCACCATAACTCCACTCAGTAGAAACTGAGTTAAAACGGATCAAAGAGAGACTTCGAATGCATAAAATGGATCTGTTGTGGTAATTCATTTTAATGTCCACCAGCCAACTTCCTGTAGTTGAGTATCGCATATTGTATGGAACTCCAGGGAAGGGAAATTGACTATGTAGTAACTATTGCAAATTTTGCGAAATTGTGTTTTGTTTTCATTTTCGAAGTGTTTTTTTTATGTTTGTTTTGCTTTCTATCTTTTTCCGTTTTGTTTTTTTTTCTTCTTTGCATAAACAAAAACCCAAATCGAGAAGTTCATCCATCTCGGATGCGATTTCTTGATGGATATAAACAAATTTAAGCAATCTTCAGCCGAAGATGCTCTTTGAAAAGCCGAACCGGAATTTCCTCCGATCTTAGGTACAAGGAGTCCATTCCCTGAAGACGTTTGTGTGCCATTTTTAACCGCCGGTTTTTCTGGACGGTATCAGCCTGTTGGTTCCGTTTGGGTATGGCCAATTGGTTCGCTCAGATTGATTTCAACCAATTCGCTGTCAAGTGCATCTGGGTCGCAATCAGTGTTTGTGTTTTCATCACGCCAAATGGTGTAGGCCGCCGAAATGAGCATATAACAATCTTTAAGAGCTACTAAAAAGATCACAACCACTAACATAACGATCCAAATGTTGTTCAGTGTGCTGGTATCGTTTGGTGGCAATAGAATTTCAGAACATTTGGATGATACTTGATCCAATGTGCCAATGGCCTTGGTGACATGGCTTGACAATGACGCAAATGTTTCGGTAATCGATTCGACTGTGGCTTCTGAATTGACGTCCAGCCTTTTTATTTCATTTAATACTTTTTTGATGTTCAGTTTGTGAAGCGTGTGATGAATTTCTACACGTCCAACCGTGGTTTCTTCACAACTGTTAAATGAAATTCTTGCCAAACGATTCTGCATCTGTGTCACGCTCTCGTAGCACCCCATGGGACTGTGATGGTCACAAACGCTCTTCAGGATCTTTGTACAATGAGACAAAAGCTTTCTAGTCTCATTGTACATGTCGCCAATGGATTTGACCGCTCGTAGGTGTTCAACTGGTGCTCCCTGGATTCCGGCAAAAACTGCTGCCAAAATCACTATCATAAACCTCATTGCGCCCATTTTTCTTGGAACTGGAATTTTTGGGAGGGAATTATTTTTTACTGAGACATTTTTCAGCCCATAAAGTACTTTGAATAGATCAATCAACTAATTTTTGTCCGAAGCACAGTGTCCAATGTGCATTTAACTTAGTTTCAATTTAAAACATTTTAACGTATTAAAACTGGTGTCAAAGTACATATAACTAGGCAAAAATGAGTTGGTTGCTTCAATCTGCTTAATTTCATCACAATTCACATACCTTGCAAACGGTGAATAAAAATGAAACTTATAGAAAATGCCACTGATTCTGCGAGATGATTCGATGTATTTATATATGCTCTAGATCTCCCTATAAAATATTTCGTAAATATTTGCTAAATAACTCTATTCAGAAAAGAAAAAAAAAACAAAGAAGAAAATAAAATTAGCATAATTTTAAAACTAAATGTTTTCATTTGGATTGCATGTGATTGCATGATTGCAGTCGAATGATCGAAAGTGATCGTTTGCGGTGAAAAAAACCGGTTCTTTTGAGTTTGGAATAAGCCGTAAGCAATAGAAAAACGAGGTTTGAAAAATATATGGCGTAATTTATTCGTCGATTTATTGCACTTTTTGTTTCTCTTATCCGAAATGACTTCGGTGATGAGATCATCACGGGGATTTTTTTTTCTTGTGATCTCAAACAATTCATGAAATTATTGTAATTGGTTTAATTTAATTTCACTTTAATTAATTCCACTACAAAATGGTGATACAAATTATTTCTTACAAACGATCACTTGAGATCAAAAAATAAATATAAAAATAAAGTTTTACCGTTTGCTAAACACGACTATTCTCTTTGACAGTCAATGTCTAACTCAAATCATCATAGCGAGATAACATGTAATATACGGCTCTATAACATAACATAACATAACATAAAATATGCGGCAATTTGTTCATAGCTCACTTTAGCTCACGTAGACAGAGATTCAGCCAGCGTAGTGGAAATATCGAAAATTCCGAAATCAGATTTACGGCTTTGCCTACAGTTAAATACAGTATCAAATTCCTGCTGAAAAATATGATCATACATTGGAGCTATTTGCACAAGAGACATGCACGGAATGTAATAGAAATCTGATTCGAATTGGTGGAAACTTGTATCAAACGGAAATCGTCCAGTGTAGTTTCAGATATTCCCACAATGGGAACTGCACGAACGAGAATGGAATTTCACGAAGAACCGTTGCTCCAAAGTCTCGATACAATCCATTGAAAATGCCTTCCGTTCGATGGGCTTGGAATAGAATTTCGGTTGCACCAACACCTTCATATTGTTTGCTACGCATTGGCGACGCTTCTTGATAATTTCCACCAGAACACGAACTAAACAGGCAACAACCTCGACAACGGCTGCCGAAAACATGTACACGAAATGGGTGTGTGTGTGGATCGCGATAGGAGACTCTTGAGGCTTTAGAACGGCGATGTGTCAAAGAGGTGGCCGAACATGTAGCGCAATTCGTCGATTTTATGTACGAAAAGGTTTGGATGCGAATTTCGGATTTAACCATTGTGAGCAAAAAAGAGACAGAGAAACCAACATACATGTAGAGAAGACAGACATACATATATTTATTTGTAATTTATAATTTCCACTGTTTAGTTCCTGGGAGCTTTTTTGGTTTCATGCTTTCAGTGTACACAACCAATAATAATATCTGTATATTGAGCGAACAAAGTCTTACGTTCATTGTCACTACATCGAATATTCATCCAAAAAAAATTGTTTGTTGAGATGGAAGTAAAATCATGTTTTTTTTCTTTCAAAATTTGGAGTTTATTTCGGTTGATTCGGATTCAACCATTTCATTTTTGTACATTATATGAAATGTAGAGCTATTCGTCCAAGTCATTTGGATCCCACGGTACGTAATTTTCTGGGGTTGGAAACAAATCTCCACTTTCACCTGGAGGAACTCCTAAAAATAAATGATTTTCAAATAATTAATCTAACAATTTATACATATCATACAACAATCTGTACAGTAAAGGGTGTTTTTTAAGACCATGTGGAAGTTTTTTTTGCAAATAAAATACACAAAATTTCGACCATGTTTTGAACACAAAATAGGTTATGTGGTCAATTATAAGAAGGAGAATGAAAAAACAGCTAAATATGGAGTGCCGGGGACAACCCGAAATAGGAAGGAGTCGGAGATCATATTTCCAAAGCAATATTCAAACACTAAATGTAATGAATATATCTAACAAATCAAACCGTTTGTACGATAAGAAAAAAATTCGAATTTCATGTGTTTAAAAAAAAAAATTCCACGTCTCAAAATAACACCCTTTATAACATATGTTCTGTGGATTTGATGATAATGCAAAGAGACGAACATTCAATTTTACCTGTGTCCGCCAAAAACTCCAAGTCAGCTGAATCGACTCGATTAGGATCCAATATAAGATCCGTCACATGAGCAGCTTGCGGTGATCGCCCATTTGAAGGACCCCCTAAATGTAGATGATTTTCAAATAGCAAAAAATCTAATCATAATAAATAACAGTGAATATATTTACCGGTATCCGCTAAAATCTCCAAATCAGCTGAATCGGCTGAATCGACTGGACCAGGATCCGCCATTTGAGAGACTTCCGGTGATTGCTCGGTTATCTTTAAGGAAAATGTGATGAAAACATCTAATGTTAGACATTTTAAGAATGAACAAAATCCGTCATATACTTACGAATTGACGAATTGCTGAGTTCCAAGTTTTATCGAGTTCTTGGACACTGACTTCTGGCACATGCGTTGTTTCGACCGGTGTGATGCGTTCCAACTGATTTGAAACGGCTTGCATCAACTCTCCAGTCAGAACGACATCTCGCGTGCGTTTGCCTGAAAAAGAAAAGGAAAGAAATTACTACGCTATGAGTTGAATACATTTTATAATAATTCCACCTTATTTTTACCTATTTCTTTTGCCAATTTTTCCAAATGTCCAACAATCTTTCGACCTTTGTCCAAGCACTTGTTTCCGTAATTGCGCAAGTTCGAACGGTGCAACTTGAACTGGCGGTAGAGCTCTGAGATTGGCGTCTCCCGATCCACCTCTCCAGACATGTTGTCTATAAATACATGGTTTTACTATAAAGAATTAAAAAATTTATTTTAAATTACCTTCTTCCCAGAAACCATCCAGAAATGCATCCATGTCATCTCCATTTATTTCAGCTGCAACAGCGGTTCCCCGGCGTCGCAGTGAATATGCCGATGGTGCACAAATTTGGTCAAGCCGTTTACTGAACCATGGATGCTTGCGGAAATGCTTGAACAAGTCTTTCAGTCCACCTTTGTTTCGAGCATTTGGTGTAGTCCAAAGTGAATGGCAGAGGTATCGAGTTGTAGAACTGTGAATGAAAAATAAATGAGTAAAATATTCTCATATAATTTATACTAAACATACAGATTTTTGTTCACATCATCAAACAAATGAATTTCGTCCCCGGCAGCCTTCCTTAATTCCAATGCGAACAGCACTGCCATAGCATCCGAAACGCAATTGTACTTAATAGCACGACATTTTGCCTTGAGGCCATTTCCTCGTTGCTTTTTTGCCATTTTTTTCTATTTTGTTTCGATGAAGAAGAAATGAAAAGAAAAGAAAATATATATATTAGTAAATCTATCCTTCAGAAATCATTCTAAAGCATTCTATTTAAGGAAAATCAAGTAATCTAAACAATACTTGATGTAAACTTAAAAAGGATGCAGCACAGAAGGACGATTCTCAGTAATGTATCGCACATAGTACAAAAACACATTCACTGGAATCGTTTCTCTTCAATGCGCCCCGTTAGTTTCATCCGACGATTGTGACTTTTTCATAATTAATTTTTTATATTGAAAATTTGATAGAGCACAAATCAGAAGAAAAACAATATTTTGCATACAATCGGATTACTACAAGCTTTCGAACCGCGACAAGGTGGGACCAATCGAAAGAAAAACCAAAAAAAAAAAATGAAAATAAAGAAAATTGACAATATTAGCACAATAATAAATTGATAAAAAAAAATTCCACCTCTAGATGTAGATGCTTCTACATTTATTAGTCATAATCTCCAATATGAATTCAAATACGTAACGTATTTATTTTAAATTCCCTGAGAATAACACCTATGTAGAACCACAGCAATGCTACATAATCCATAATCTAATCGATTGAATTGATACATAGGCAAAAATATGGTTAAAATTTCTGACACAAATAGTTACAATGAAACGAGAAAAGAAATTAAATGAAAAAGTGGCTGACAAATTATATTATAAATTTGTGTCGAAAATCTTAACTAAATTTCTGTGTGTATTTTTTCCGATTGAATTGAAGTTTCAATTTCGAAATAGGGTCATCTAAACGAATTTGAATTTCCAATAAAATCTCAGTCGTAAAACTACGTGAAACGCGTAGCCAATAACACTTCCCAACTATTTATTTATAGTTCAATGTAAATTTTTGCTGTATACAGAGAATTATTAGCCAAGTAGATTTTAATCTACTCGTCAAATTATTCTTCGTATTATGCAGAAGTTCACATTGAACTATAATTAAATAGTACAGTGAAAGTGACTACCGTTTCGAGAGAAAACCAACACAAATTTCTTGCAATGCTGTCCAGCTATCAGCTTCAGATGATAGTCTGGTGAGAACCTAAACATGCAAGCACCATGTTGAAGACAACAAATGGTCCAAAAAAAGAAAAACGTAGAACGATTAAAGTCGATCAATCTGCCCAGATAGACAGAGACCAACGATAACGCCTCTCTACAGAGATAGTCCTAACATAAACGACAGAGGAGAAAAACAACCCAAGCTAAAGTGAAAAAGCCCTAACGAAAAAGTAAACCTAACTAACTACATAAACCTATAATACTTACCAAAGAAAAAACCCATTTCTACACTTACCGACACTTACCTCACCAAACTAGCCATACACCAAAACAACGATGAGAACTTACCTACCTGTGAAAAGAAATTTATTTATTGAAAAAAAAAAATACGTCACGAATGACGCTCCATTGAGATTTTAATTCAATGAAGTTTGAAGAAATTACATGCAAATCGAAGTCAGGTGACCTCTCATGCAGTTTCTAGCCTTTATACCGAGGCTGAATCGGTAAGAATGCACACATACTTATTGAGTGTAAGTACAATGTGCAACATAATTCGAAGAGAGATGAACCAACGTTTCTGGTATCCATAATATACAGGGTTAAAGTGGAAAAGAAAAAGAATTGATATTCAAAATTCTCATCCATTCTCAATATTCTAAATATTCTCATTTTAATCGCATCATTGAGACAAGCCGGTTGAATAAATGAGTGGTGGACACTATTATTCAAAACTCTCGTCTTTTCTCAATATTCTCATTTTTTCGCATCATTGGGAAACAAGACCGCAGATCGTCGCTTCGCTCCACTCTACGTTCTTGAAGCTTTGTAAATTTAAGGGGTTTTATTAATTTGATGTTTCCCCTCAAATTATTATCGTAAGCACTACTTGGATCGTAGTATACTTCTTGTATGCAAATCATTTTAATATTGTCAAGAATAATCAAATAAATTTATTTTTATTTTTCATTTTTATTTTTATTTTTTATTGAGTATGAGGTGTAAATAACAGGAAAAATCCCTTTTACAATTTATCACCTATAGTTTGTTTTTACAATTTGATAGTTACTTTGGTCAAAGCATTTAAACATTTCAGTCAAAATTAAAAAGAAAATTATTGAATTCTCGAAAAATGAGTGAATAAGAAAAAAGTAAATTTAGAAAAACAAAATTTTTTTTTTAATGAAAGAATGAAAAATAATCAAAATTAAATTCTATTTTTAATTGCATCTTTAAATTGCACTTTGCTCAGGCTCAAAATGTCAATGTCTGTAAATTTTCTATTATAGAGTAGTTGAGTTCGCATTGTTGGATTGCGATGTAGACCATAGTCTGTTCTAGATGTGTGAGGATTGAAAAGCTGATGCAGTCTCCTAAATTAACGGTTCACTCTCATAATTGGCCTGTTGGTTCGGACCATATTTGCATCATGAACAATGTTGTGTAGGAGGCAAGCATCAAAGTATTCACGTCTCCCCTCCAATTCACTCATGTTTAATATTTCAAGTCTTTGTACGGTAGTGATTCATATTGGAATTTAAAGAAGAGAAGACGAGTATACTTCCTCTGTGCCTTTTCAAGTTTTGAGATGTATGTGCTCTGGTATGGGTTCCAGACTGCAGTGTTGTACTCCTGTCTGGATCTGACTAGAGAGTTATATAGGAATCCTACGCAGGACAGGTCACTGAACTTTGATGCAGTTCTCATTACAAAGCCTAGCATGCTATACGATTTTTTGACAATTGAGTTAATGTGCTCATCGAATTTCAATTTTCTATCAAAGATAACGCGCAGGTCTTTGATTTCATCAACTTCTACCAGTGGATTGCCATTGATGTTATAAATGGCAGGTGTTGGGTTTATCTTATTTGAAAATGTCATGGCGTAACAATGACGCTGCCATACGAGAAAATAATTTAAGAAATGCGCTCTGTTCTGTGTATGTCACGCGCGACACCGTTACTGTGTAACGAAGCGTTTGTTCAAACGCAACAAAATATGCCGTCTAGCAGAAATATCCAATGGATATATCTAAACGATACCGCATTGTTTGGTGCTGGGGTGAAATATCCGGCTAAAAAACCATCGAAGAGTTCGCCGAAATACCCAGAACTTAGAGACGGCGTTACTTTTGTTTGTGCCAACGGCTCTGGCTCACTCAAATTGTTGGATCGCTCGGTGGGTTCGTCTTCAACGATGGACTCGCCACTGACTGATTGAAGTGTCACAATGACAACGGCCAGAATAACAGACTTTTCCACGAACATATTTATCGCTTTGTTGATTCGATATGCAATTTTGTCGATTGGAAATGTGCGCCAATGTTTGATTCAGGCCGCAGTAATTCAGTCGATTCAAACGACTTGTCCTTTGCAGTCTTTCGTCACTTTTCTTCTTTTCTACAATTTTTTTTTTCTTTTTTTGAACTTTTCTCAACTTTTTTTAAATTAAAAGTTCTATATAAAATTTGCTTTTATATGTGCGCGATTTGCGCGCAACTGATAAGAGATAGATGTCTTCAGCAATGTTAAAGAAAACCTCAAGTACTACAACTTTGCTAAAGACACCATGTTGTTATCTTTTATCAGTTTCGCGGAAACCGTGAAAAACCGCGGAGGCTAGACGGGATGCCAACATACTTCCTTTTAACGCAGATAGAATCAACAGAAATCATACTCTCCTCTTTCAAAATATATTAGAATTGTTTCACATACTCTCCTCTCGATCTAGTCAATAGAATTATCTATGTTCTAAAAGGAGACATTCATTCAAATTAATGCTTATTCGGAATATATTCAGCTTGAACACACGTTTGACTCTCTCTAAATCCAAAATTGATCTGATTTACTTGTTCATAGAAAATGTCTCTTTTTGTGTGGTTTCCTATGACAACATCAGCAAAAGACAATTTAAAACTAATTTGACCTAATGTGACACTAATGAATTCTTGAATATGCTAATTACATGTAAAATTTTGCTTAAAATTATGCCTTAATGACGTTATTTCGATGACTTGTCGTCTAGCTCGCGCGTTCAGACTGGAATCGATCGCGTCGAACGGCCATTTGTTTCGACAATAGTATGCATCACGCGTATTTTGTCGAATCCAGTTCAGGTATCGCGTTACTCGTGTGTAGACACCAGGGTAATCTGGAAAATGAATGTTTGTTTAAAATGTGAAATTGTGTGGAATTTGATGTTTCGCATTGATATAAAAGCAACGCCGTTTAACGATTTGGTTTCTTTTTAAAGGAAATCTCAACTCGACTCACAATTCTGGTAAAATTCATATTGATTCGGACATTTGCCACCGAAGAATTGATCCGCTGAGAACAAAAACAGCGTATTGAATTGGTTGCCGAACAAAACGAAACACTGAGTCATTTCTAGATAGAGTTCTAATCCATATGGAAAAATTTACTATGTTTTTTCAGTTTGGCACCTATTTAATACGCTGTTTTTATTCCCACCGGTTCAATCTTGTTGCATTGAATGTCACACTTTGAATTTTTGTATGCACGATTCGAAAACGATCTTATGTTCCACATGGAACTATTCCCTTTATTTCTTTGGTATTCACTTTGAAAACTATTTTTATTGAATAGAGACATTTGTGTCTATTAATGACATTGTCTATGGCATACATTAATGAAAACTTCCTTGCCTTGAAACACACATGAGACGTGTCTTCATCAAAGAAACCAAATGGATTCGACTGAAAATTTACCCCATGAAACAATGCCGGCCAACTCCATTCGTTTGTCGTTTCGTTGCGCCATCAATGGTCCACCGGAATTACCCTAGAACCAAATAGATACGATTTTAGTTGAATAAATACCAGAATCTACTTCAGGTTTGCTGTTGAACTGCGTCAATCACAAAACATGGCATGAATACATCTCTACAGCACTTCATTTGGGTAAATTTCACGATCCGATAGCATGAGACTTTTTACGTCACATGAATGTGTACGTGCTTTACATGTTTATTCATGTTTGAATGATTGAAACTTGCAATTTTGACTACTGGCGTTGTTGTTGTGTTCTTCAATGCAATTAAGATGGAAACTTTGTGATTACATGTTAGTTCATGAATATTTTCACTAGTTTCGCTCTTGTCACATTCTGTACATTTAGTGTCAATATGAATCAATGTATTTTTGGTTTTTGCTGTCGGATCGTGGTAAATTTCATTTGAAAAATTGCCAACATCCAATGGAAAATGAAATCTCAATTCTTAAATTTCAACTGTGAAATCTCCATTCTAAATTCTCAACTCTCCCACCCAGGAACACTGAATCTCACTTACAATTGCGAATGTTTAATTCGATGAAAAATGTCCTATTTACTCAAAGAAAAATCTCGCCTGGCACGAGTCTTTTCCACCGCCAAAGTAACCCGCACACATCATATTCTCTGTTACCATGCTCGATGTGTAGCTTGACCGATGAACACACTCCAAATTGGTTAGAATTGGAACTTTGACGTCTCGTAGCACACATGATAGTACTTCTTGTTCTTCTTTCATTGATCCCCAGCCTGCAACAGTGGCTGTTGTGCCGGCGTAATGCGACGCTGGAAATGAGAATAGAAATTCGATTTCTTGAAAAATTCGTAACTTCAACTTGCCAAAGCTATTGGTTGTCTAGCTCAAGCTTCAGCGTGAGAGAGAATTGACTGATTCATAACGTGGTGACTGAAGATTTGTTGCCACTGATTGAATTCCTTTCAATTTGCATCAAATTCAACTTACCACGGCGGTTGGGTAAACAAATCGGTCGAATGACTGCATTAATCGGCACTCGATCGTTTAGCCGAAGTAAAGCGATGTCATTGTCATAGTTTGTGTGGCTTAACGGCTGTGTAATGGCTCGAAGTATGAAACGTGACTCTGGATCCGATTTCGAATTGCATTTGTCATGCTCGCCGAACGTCACTTTGACCATAAACCAAATGTATCTACGGAAATGGCACATGAATGATAAGAATTAGTGACAACATGAAACTATTTCCTAGCGATTGCACTGCTTAGGCTTCTTGTTTTCACTTTAAATTTGATGTATGTAAATTTGGTACAAAAATTACCTTTTCAACTCACGCTTTGACACAATGTGCCGCAGTCAGAACGTATCGATCATTGATCAGCGATCCAGCACAGAAAAATCGGCCCATGAACGACAGTCGAGCTATCCATGGATACATATTCACCTCTGTCTCGCTTCCACTGCAGTTCGTACAAAAAATATCACAATTTTTCGCATTCAATTGACTTTAAACCATTAACTTCAACTCAAAATCGAATTCATTGAAAGAAAAAGCGTTGAATTGCCTATTTTCCATATTTTCTTACCCAACAATTCGAGCTCCATAGTTGATTTTGCCACAACCTGAAACAAGACCAACGATTTTTGTAATGAACAAAACGAATAATTTCGATCCAACCAGAAATGTGAGGTTAGGGTGCTCCAATTGGCCATAGCGTCGGTCGCTGAAAATAGAAATTTGTATGTGTTATGCTAGGTTTTCTTATCAGAAAATGATTTATTCTACGATTTTCATTGAAAAAAAAAATAAACAAAACAACGAAAAAATGTTATGATTTTCTCCAGAAAATGTGTAAACATTTCAATCTTTTCAGTCATCTCATGACTTATGTCAGTCGGCACGACACTTTCTTAGTCTAGATTGATAAATCAAATTTTTTCCGTCAGAAAATGACAGTTTCACATTTTTTCCAATCAAAATTGTGTAATTTTAATCGAAAATGTGAATTTTAACACCAGAATTAGAATCAACCCACTATTTCTCGCAAATCCAATCAGAAACAGAAAACCATTGCAACAACTCACGTGTCAAACATCATGCTTGTTGTTGTTTCTGCAAATTCGTGTTGAGAATGAATGTGTGGCCATTCTTCCAACATTCCAATGGATATGTCAAACGAAATGGTTTCCAATAAAATACCACTTGAACAAGTGCCGAATGGTGACACATACATACATTGTTTTTGTGTGTAAGTGTTGAAGCGATTGAATGCCTTATGTTAATACACGTCATCAACAAATTCAAGTGCTTCATTGCAAAACGACTCATAGCTGTAAATATAGCCGGTGTCACTGAGTACATGTATTTTATATTTGACTATTTTCTAATAGGGTAATGAATTGATGAAAGAACCATGAAACATAGCATTTGTTTTTACACTTTGAATTTTAAACAATGGAAATAATGAACGCTATGCAAATGTTGATTGGATTTTCATTGACAACTTTTCAGTCAACAGAAAATGGAATAGAAGCTAACAAAATAATCGAAACTCAACGCTTCTTATTCACAATGACTTCACTTTTTTCACTGATCAACGATGAAGCATTGTTGTAGTATATTTTGAAAACGATCTGTTTTTTTAGTCCAATGAATTAACTTTATTCATTGTATAGAAAAACGTAGCGTATTTGTTCATGAGAGGAACGGAATGTTCTCCGTGACCGCGGGAAAAATTGAAACGATTCGATTTGAATGCTTCCTAAACAGCTCACGTAGCATAAATGTTATACATAGCGATTGTAGAATTAGAATCGTTCTACTCAGACTAACTTCATCACCACAGCTCACAAGTGGTGAGCTTCATTGTACTCATTTGCACAAAGCATTGCAAAATTACGTCCCGAACACTCTTGCTATGAGAGGACTTCAGTTCGTCCGAAAATCATTTTTCCAACAAAAATAACTCCTTTTCATAAAACTACTTGACTTTTTGTGATTTTTGATTGACAATTCTCGCAGATTCGATAGGAAACTGAATACGATTAAATTGCAACGGTTTTGCTAAAAAAGGTAAATATTTCGTTGAACAAGATACACTTTTCGATCGATGAAGTGGTTTTTGCGATACCAAAATGTCAATTCGAAGCCAAGCTATATCTCGACGAAATGTTCTCCGGAATATTTGTTTCAAAATTGAATGAAGATTTAATTTGATCATTAAAAAATTTAGAGAAAATTCTATTTATTACATAGAACTTTTCAACAAGAAATAATTGATTGCATGCAACCATTTTTTTTAGGTTAGAGCCGTATTGAACTGAACATGAGCTGGAGTACATCGTCTTCTTACGACTATTCTTCTGCCTCTTCTGAATATGAAGAATGGGTTGCCAATATTGTCCAAACCAGATGCCTGTGTCAGCATTAAAAGGTCATATGAATCGGAAGCACATGATTCAGTGTAGTTTATGCAATAATGTAATGCCGAAAAGTTCCCTAGGGGCATATGACTCTCGCGAATGCTGCGAATGCTGCGAATGCCACGTACTAAAATACGAATGGCTACGAATGCTGCGAATGCCAAGTATTGAAATACGAATGGCTGCGAGTGCTGCGAATGCCACGCACTTAATACGAATACCTTGCGAATGCGTCGTATCAAATACGAATGGCTACGAATGCTTGTGATGGGTTTGCTTACAAATGTCAATTTATATTTTTTTTCGGTTAAAAATGGTCATTAATAATATATTACGTTAACGCTGTTTGAAATTCAATAGCCTATACACAAACACTATTGTCAAATTCAATAGAAATTCATTTTGTTTTCAATGACTACACGCTCGTTAAATTGATGCTTTGCATCCTTTAGATGTTTTTTTTATTCCACGCACAGTTAATAGATTTCTAGGAGCATCGATCAATCGTTGCGTAAATTTATGTAAATGAATGAAATGCTTTGAACAAGCATTGGGCAGTGCCATTGACTTATAGAACAATACTATCACAAAACGTCCGAAATTACTTGTTCAAAATAGATCTCACTCAGATTGTGGTTTCATCAACACATAAATCTGTACGTTTGAGCTCATCTATACGAATTCAACCAGTAGATTGTGAATAAATGTTTGTTTTGTTTATGTGTAAATTTTTTTTGACATGTTTCAGCGTTGAATTGACAGCTGACACTGGCATTCGTGTAGATTCATGCATTCGCAACGCTCCCATATAAAATGTATGTAAACATTCGCGCCGCATTCGCAGCGCATTCGCGTGATACTCGCATTCGAATGTTTACGAATGCCACTGCGAATGCTTCCATACATTTTATATGGGAGCGTTGCGAATGCTTGCTTCAAAATACGAATAAAGTCATTTTTTTCCGAAACGTAGAACGTTTTCGAATACTCATTAGCCCCTAGAAAGTTCCATAAGCGGCCATGTGTTGCGCAAACATTCGATCATTGTCGGTGACATTGCCATACCTGACGATGAATTCAACGAATTGATGAAAAGAGGAAACATTTGCGCAAGAAATGGGGTGATCCCCCTTTGAAATTCAAATAATGGAAATAATAAAAGCCATGCAATCGCACAGTTTCAAGGACAACTTTTTTATCAACAGAAAATGAAATAAAAGCAAACAAAATCCAAATGAGGAAAATTGAAGCGATTCGATTTGAACGCATCCTAAACAGCTCACGTAGCATAAATGTTGTGAATTACGGTTAGGTTATTAGAATTTTTCTTCCCATTCGATCGTCGCAGCTCACAAGTGGTGAGCAGCACAACTAATTCATTGCATATGATAGAAAAATTTCCGCGGTTTATTTTGACGTTTATTCATTTGCAAACAGCATAGTCATTGCGAAATTACGTCTAGAACACTCTATAACAAAGGGAACTTCAGTTCGTCCGTAAATCATTTTTTTCCAACAAAACTAACATTTTCCCATAGAATTATTTCACTTTTTGTGATTTTGGATTGAAAGTTCTCGCAGATTCGATTGGAAACTGAGCAAGATTGAATTGCAACGGTTTTGCTGAAAAAGGTAAATATTTTGCTGAGCAAGATACACTTTTCAATCGATGAAGTGGTTTTCTCGATGCCAAAATGTCGATTCGAAGTCAAACTATATCTCAATGAGAGAATCTCCAGAATAATTGTTTCAAAACTAAGTCGATATTCAATTGAATCGTTGAAAAATTGTGAAAAAATATTCATTCATAACTAGAACTTTTCAACAAGAAATTGATTGCATGTGACTGTTTTTCTGGGTTGAAGCCAAGGTGGTCATGTACAAAACGAAATCTCATTTTTTATAAAGAAACGGAACCGAATTTTCTTCTGTGAAAACATAAACTTGCTATGATCAACAAAAAGAACACAGAGCTTAGTAAGTCGTTCATCGGTTCGCATATTTGCATATGAAAATTGAGCAATATGTGCAAAAATATGTAAAAAGGGTACCATTGTTCGAAATGTAAATGGATGTGAAGCAAAATGAATGGAATTAAATCCGCGCCTTTTCACTTCGTCATTGAATGCACCACGATATATGTCACCGCGATATATGTGATACAGGCGTCAGTACCGTAAAATTTCTCTTATGTTCGATCGCCCCAAATTCACCACCTAAAAGTAGACGCAATTTTTTACTTACAGTCATTGCACATACACACGGTGTTGCTCATTTCCATCTCAATGCTCACAGGGAGAACACGTTTTTTCCTGTGTGGCAAACATTTTTCTAGTAATTTTTCCAAAGTTTCGATTTTATTTCAATGGAAAATAATATTTGCGAAATTGAGTAAGTAAAATTGTTTCAATTTTTCTGTGTCGTTTGAAACAAACGTTACCAGGAACAAAGGGATATTAGAAATATTTTTTCTATCGTATCAATGCACATGTTCATTTGCGCCATTTTGTTTCGTCGCTGAATTTACTGCTAAATTAATATTACTTAATTATTTATTATTATTTAATTCTCGCTGATTTTACTGTTTGTGCTACTTTTCTTGCGACGGCGTCGTAAATTTTCTTATGTACGAGAAACTTGTGCATAAATTCGATTGCACATACAGAGAAGTGAAATGGAGTAACACATGCAGTGCATGTCATGCACACAAGAATGCTTTTTTCAGGGCAAAAGAATTGTTCGATACGAAAATGTGAATCATCATACGGTCGTTCTTTTCAACCATCATTGCAAAAAATATATGAATTTCTTTTCCGTGCGATGAGCCCAAGTTTCTGTCTTCTGCATTGAAGATTCATTTTTACAAACACGTCGATAAGGTTTCGAATGTATTGCTAGCGATTCAAACCAACTAATGCATATAGAGAAGACTGTGAACATGTGTGAGTGTGTTACTTCTCTCCTGAAGGCACCGTCAATTTTCATATACAAATGCATAAGTTTGATTGCACACGCAGAAAAATCAACTCAATAATACACTCACAAGCACGCACTCATACATGCCGTTCTTGGTAGCAAAAAATATGTTATATACGTGAATACGAACCTTCTGACGGTCACGCCTCAGATTTTTCTACCTAATATTGTAACAAAAATGTGAGTTCCCCTGCGTGCGATCAGTTTAAATTACCTTTTCCAGTAAACTACACACATACACATCATTCGTCGTTCCCCTTTCTATCGTTTGCCGTATGCATTTCCGACATGGGTATAACACTCTGATACTAACAGGTGTTATCCTGTTCAGTTTCTCGACAGCACTCAAGTTTAAAATAATCAGACAAATAAAATTCGCATCACAGTTCAGTGATTTCTGTTCAGAATTCTGGGGAATTTTTCGAAACTACTATAATTTTCTTCAACATTTTCACATTTCTTGTAGAAATTCCAGAAAATTCGCAAATAAATTGCCAATTTTCACCATTCTTCCAAGATTTTGTGAATTGTTTGTGATTCTTTATGTTCAAAATCGTATTTTTACGCATTTTCTTTTTTTCGTTCATTTACGTCCATCCAGCCGCTCATTTTCAAAGATTTCCTTCATTCTTTCTCATCAGAACATCTTGCGTTACATCTATTTTGGTGAGGTGACCGTCGACGATGCGGTCAAATTGTTCAACATCGGCGAGATACTTTAAATCAGTGGATTGGAGCGAGCTGATAATAACCTACGATCAGCTACGACACCGTGAAGGCAAGCCAAACGTGTTCCAAGTTCATTCGAGCTCAAAGGTTGTGATCAAAGCAAATCGTCCGAAGGTGTTGAAAGCGATGAAATCGCGTCGTTTTGTCGATGACAACGACTCAGAAGGTTCAATCTACGACGCAGGAAACGACAGTGACAATGGTCGAATGGTATTGCGACGATGCAACCTGATGGTCACAGGTGCAAAGCCAAAGAAGGGTCCAAACACTCGTCTGGCGCAGAAGCGAGCTATAAATCCATTTGCTCAAAAGAAGCAGGTCAATGCGCCAGCTCAAATGGTGAACAAAGCTCGAGCAGTTCGAAGCAACCACGACCAACCAGTGTTCTGCAACGATTGAAGCAAACGAATGCTCGCGTCAAGCCGAATGCAATCAAGCAGAGTGTCGACGATACACCAGACAGCATGAACATCTCATTGAGTCAGGAAGAGTTCGATCAATTGGCACCGATCTACGACGAAACGGGTGAAAACCTTGATGAAGAAGAGGGCGCCGTGAGCTTTTCACCAGAGTATGATGAAGAATGCGATGAAGTTCGAGTTGCATCAGAGACTTTGAAGCGAAGATCGAAACAAAAACAAACGTGCTGTTGGTTCACGTGCGATCAATCGAAAGAATGATGCAGAGTTCGATGACTACAACGAAGACAACTCGTTAGATTGGGACATCGACAAACAAAATCAATGCGAATACGGTTCAGACGATGAAGATATGGTGGATTCGACAGTTTCCTATGGAGAAAACGTGTATGTCGAAGATCTGACCATCGGTCAATATGAGCATGGTCAATCGAGTCAAAACGCATGGGCAAGCAATGATGCGAGTTATGCTGATTGCGAAGTCGATGACCAGCTGGGAGCAGTCAAAGTGAAAGCTGCAAAGCCGAAAGGGGAAAAGACGATGGGAGGAACGTTTGGAGCACGTCTTGGTACTGGAATGAACGCTGTGCCGCTTGACGACAATGGTTTGTATAGATTGTGCATATTAATATTTTATCTTGTTCAGAAAATGGGACACCAAATATGGTGAAATTCGAAACTTTTTCGTTCTTAGATTACAACGTTGAAGCGAACATCATAACTGGGCCGAGAGGAGGACAAAATTTGGCTCATGGTGGGAATCGATACCAAATGGGCCGACAGAGCAAAGATTACATACGTTGGCAGTGTCTTCGACGTAACCAAAAGAGCGAACGATGTTGTGCGTATGCTTACACCAAGGACATTGATGGAATGACCATGGCTTGCTTACCATCAAACGACATTCATAATCACGACCCGAAATTCGCAGCCGACATGAAGTAACTTGAAATATGTTTGCGATCGAACTAGCATTCGACTTAAGCGATTTGACTTAATTTATTTAGTTTTAAGCATCAGCATCAGCATCAGTATCATTGATCAGATTAGAACCAAAAGGAGATCATGAATTTGAAAACAAGGCAATAATTGCAACAGTTTTCAAGTTTTGATAGAAAATTTCAAGGGAGTTATTCGAATACCAATCATAATAGTTCTCTGTGAGTTCCATCACATGGAATGATACGTGTGACGGCATATTTTTACACGGAACTTCGTTCCCAGTGCGCCGAGCACTAGCTACATGTAATAACGTGTGGTTTCTAAAATTCGGATACGTTCGCTCTATATATAGCAAGTGCTCGGCGCACTGGGAACGAAGTTCCGTGTGAAAATATGCCGTCACACGTATCATTCCATGTGATGGAACTCAGAGAGTTGTTTTGTTCTTATTTCCGTCATATTCAATTTTTTAAGAAACGTTTCTTGAATGAAGAAACAAAAATGTTCAATTTCTCAAGCAAAGAATTCGTCGAATTCAATCAATAGTCCATTTTCAGCAGTGAATCAAACATAGATATGTCAATCTTGAACAACTGTCAATGGTGCTGCATTTTTTCAATTTCAGTGCTTGTTGATCAAATCAATGTTTTGAACGAAAAAGATTGAATACAGAGACGATTAAACGCATTCATCGAATCAAAATGTCAAATGGGACAGTATCATTTCAGAGCGTGATTCAACAAAATTTCATCATTGGACTTTGACTCTCGGCGTTTCGATTCGAAAAAATTACACAACTCATTTAAAATTCCGTTAAGCAACAATTTTATTTTGTTCAAACTTGGAATATATCCCAAAATTGATGAAAAATTGTAAAAAGCTCTTGATTTCTTGAAGTAAGTGCAGACATTCCGTTTGGCTGCATATTTAGCTGAGCTATTTTCAAATAGCTGGCTGTTTGGTACATTTGGATTCGTCACGTGTAGTTCATTCAAATTCATGATGGAATCCATGAATTTGTATGGATCCCATGTCACAAAGTCAGAAAAATCGTGGTATCCCTCATGAATTTGGATGAACTACACGACACAAATTCCAAATGTACCAAACAGCCAGCTATTTGAAAATAGCTCAGCTAAATATGCAGCCAAACGGAATGTCTGAGTAAGTGTTGAACCGAAAGTGAAGTTTTCGCTGCGCACAAAATTGTATTTGTGTTTGAGAAGACGCCATTTTTCGTACGAACAATTTTTCATATGAGGATCTTTTGAGAATGGATTTAGAGTTAGCTTAAGAAAATTAGCTCTTGGAATGAAACTGGGAAAGCCATAACGTAGCATAAAATATAACAAAATTAACGATCAATAAATTTTTTTTTCCAGATTTTGTCTCATTCAGCCTAAAAAGATCACAAAAAACCAAGTGTATTGCTTAAAGTGATGACTTTTCCCATTTCAGACCGTCGCTCTCATCAACTCAACCTCAATTTCCAAGAAGCTATCAACAAAGTGATTTTGTTCGTCATTCCATCAAAGTGTGGAACGTCATCCGCTGAAGGCTTGTTTATCGTTCGATTGATTGTGTTTCCTCTCAAAGCGATTCATCCACCAAAAATGGCCAGAATGTCATCACGCCACGAGCCAAGCGATGGTTATTTCACCCCACTTTACTTGAACATCGGTCGAAAGATGTATCCAAACGATGAAACAGCCGACTTCCAATTTGTTTTCGAAAGCAGTGCCACTGAAGTGGAATTTGTCCCAGCGCACAAAAACATATTGGCCGCCGCAAGCAGTGTTTTCAGTGGAAAGTTCAATGGTCCATGGAAGGAAGCAAACCACGTCAAAATGTTCAACGGTTCGCCCGGTGCATTCAAGGAATTCTTGCGATTCTTTTACTTTGATCATGTGACTGTCACCATGAAACATGTTGATGCACTCATCCTCTTCGCCATAGAATTTGGGGTCGTCGAATGTTCAGATGTGTGCGGAAAGTTCCTGGATGAAACCATCCTTTGATGCTCAAGAGCAGCTCCACTGGAGAATGACTTCCAATCTCAAGGCAAAAAATGTTCAAACAATAACACTTCATTTTGAAGTGAAAAAAGGTTAAGGAAAACAAACAGATGAAAACAAATGTCCATTCAGTTATTAGTTCAGATTTATTTTGGTTCGTTGCTAATGCAAATTACAAATATCAATATCGAACATCAGTTTTAGCCCAAGTTTTAACACATAAGCCAACGATAACTCAAGAAAATTCGTACACGTGCCTATTTAGGATTTTTTTTACCAAAGAGATACAAAACCAGGAATATTTTACAATTGTTCAATTTTTGTCATAAAAAGGCATAGTCATTTTGAATAGATCTTGATGCAATAGCCAACTTCTCATGTAATGAGCAAATCAATTGGGAAACAATTGGAAAATTAGCTTTTTTTCTTTGTCTTTGAAGTGAAGACACTTTGATTTCTTTCTGAAGCTCAATAAAAAGCTTAAAACGAAAACAAAATACAAATAAAATGAGATATATCGAAAGAATACAGTAAAAGCTCAATCGCAAATAATGAAGAAAAAAAATCTGACGAGTCTGCGTTTATTTCAAATTAATAATATCTTCTGCATCTCGGATGATATTTCCGCCAAATTCCACTTCATTTAGGCAGACTCTGCAGTGGCCATTTTTCTGATCCCGTGGTTCACCGGCGAACGTGTAATGCTGTCTACTTCTTAGAAAATCCTTCAAATCTTCGCATGGAATTGAGTTATTGCTGATGTTCAATAGTTCAAGCTTTGGCACATTTACAACGTCCATTCCGTTTAATCTTGTCAAATTGTTTCCATTCAAGTAAAGAAATATTACATTTTTAAACGTTCCACGTGATTTCAGGTCAATTTCCTTCAGATAATTGTTAGAGAGATCCAAAGTGCGCAAATTCCATTCGGTGCTCAGGCTATCCGTATAAATTTCGCGTAAATGTGTCTGGCTTAAATTGAGACTTTGTAAATTGTGACATTTCTCAAACAAACTGAAGTGAGCCACTGGCAAATAGTTTGAGGTTAAATCCAAAACTTCAACTTTTGTTCCAAGTTGTTCGATCAATGCTCTGGTTTGTGCAATAAAATTGTGGGCAACATTGAGATGAATGAGATTTTGGAAGCATTCGACGCACCAGAGTCGATTGATTTGGCTATTTTCCAAGTTTAACTCTTTCAATTTTGTGTTATTCCGAAAAACATTATCCGGCATCACTCGAATAAAATTATAGCTCAAGTCCAATAATTTCAATTCGCTCAGTTTTTGAAATGCATTTGCTTCGACGTAATGGATTTTGTTGTGTGAAAAATTCACTATCACCAATTGCGATGAAATATTGCTCAGGTCGGTCAATGTTTCGATTTGATTGTATGAAAAGTCGATGTCTTGTAATAACACCAAATTGATCGCGGTTTTTTCATTGAGCTCAGTTATGTTGTTGTGTGAGGCATTGAGAGTCATTACAAAGAACTTTGGTGGCATAGCAGGAAATTTGATCCAGCTCAAAGGATGATATATCGATTTCGTCCAGATTTCTGAAGGCATACACAAGTTGAGGGTATTCTGGATTGGGAACTCGAATGTAGTTCCAATACTTCATTTGGCAACGACCCAATCGAATTGACGTTATTTTGGATGTATTACTGAGATTCCATGAACCAATTTTGTAGAGCAACACATAGCAATCGTCCTTTGGGTATTCACCACTGTGGTTGTGAGTGTCACAAATTAACTCAATCTTTTCTCGGCTTCTATCCAGAAAGATGCAATCTGCGAAATTCGGCCAAGTGAAGACTGAAACCGCCACTTGAATGTAGAGGACTAAAACCAGCACGACTGTGGTAACATTCATTTTTTCATTTCACTCGAGTTCAACTACTGGGTTCAGATTCAATTGTTTGATTTATTAAACAAACCAAATCGTTATTCAATCACTTTTATCCAAGTTTGTATAGCGTTCAAGTCCAGTTAAAAGCTCCTCAATTCAGATTCCAACATCGTTCAATTAAATGAATTACGCTAAATGCACTCTGATTGCTCCATGGATAAAGACCTCAAATAAAGGGAAAATCTGAGCATCGCAACGAAAAAATTGTAAAAATTTGCGAACCGTTTCCATTGTTGATGCATTCAAATGCGGTTCAACACATTCAACTCAGTCAATTTCATACACAATATTCCAGTTCACCGTCATTGAGCATTGATGTGGAGGCGCCATTTCATCTTTCCTTTCATTTACATCTCTCGACTCAACCATTCTCATTATTCCATTTGCAAAACAATGTTTGCTAAAACAATAAATATTTCCTACGTAAAAAATTATTTTTGAAAATATTCATTCAAATAGTCAATTTTATTTTTAAAAAAGAATTGGAAAAAATTCCTTTTGTCTTGCATGTGTATACTGAACCAGAAATTTAACTCTCTATATTCAACATTGTGGCCGATTCACCGCATTCAACAATTCACCTCCACCTAACCACACGGAGACGATGAGTATGAAATCGCACCAAAGAGCTGTCACTGTCACATTGTTTAAATCAAAATAAATGTTGTGCAGAGCCGATGTTTTATTTTCTTGTTCCATTGTTTGATGTGCAGCTGTTCAGTTTAGTCAACAATTTTGTGTTTGCATTGAAAATCGATTGAAAAAAGGTGTAATACTTGTTTAAAAAACGAGCGAAACAACAAATCCAATTGACGAGCGTGCACTTGTATGCAAATTGAGACACACAATGGCAAACAAATTCATGAACGCAACACTTGAAGAAGGCGAACTCGAGCAGTCTGTGTGCAGCCTTGCCGAGAAATCGTGGTACGAAGAGTGTGAAGAAGCCGAAGAAGCAATGACAGTAAGTAATATCGTCGGTCACACCAACCATTCTCAATCTCACACTCACGACACACACGTTTTTGTTGTTGGTTTTCTTGTCAATTTTTTTGTACGCTTTTCGTAACAATTCGTTTTTTCCTTTTTTCATTTTGTGATAATTTTCCACATTTGTTATTGAAAATATCTTGGTTCAAAAAGTATCGGATCCAACTGATTAAGGCAACATTTTTTTTTACCGCTATCAATCCTGTTAATACGCATTGTTTTTTCTTCTCATTGAACAGAATCGTACGAGTGATAGTTGTATGGCGGTCGACGCGTCGACCCGTGATACGGCCAATGGCTCGTTTACCGAGGCAAAAGATGCCAGCGGCAGTGAGCATTCGACCAGTGGTGATCGCGAGATTTTGGTCGCATTTTTGGAAGCATCCAACGAAGCCAAGTTTGAGCGATTGGTGAAAGAGGAAAAGATTAAAACATCATTCAAACGCTGCTTGTCACCCACTTCGGCATCCAATTCATCCGATTCAAAGCGTACCACTAGCTCACCATCCGATGATAAGGAGGATCGCAAACGTGATCTGTCGAAAACGGGCCCGCGAACTCAAAACCGATGAATCCATTTTGAACCGAAGACAAAAGCAAATCGACTACGGCAAAAACACAATCCGCTACGATGTGTACGTGAAACAGGTTCCAAGGTAAATGTGTGAACTTTTTTTATTTGTATATTTTGTTTCAATCTGGACTAGTATTTTGATTTTTTGGCATGAATTTCCAATTCAGTGGTTTGAATTGAATTTTTTTTATTCCATAATATCAATTTAATTGCACAATTTCCACAAATTAACGCAATTTTTGGTTCAATTTTCGTTAATTTTCATAACAAAAAAATAGTGCATCGCCCAAAAGACTCAATCTACGCTAATAGAAAAAAAATCGCCAAATTATTCTCATTCGTGCATGAAAATTTCGAATTTTCGAGCAAATTTTAGCAGAAATAATACAAATTTTAAATAAAAGAATGAAATAACCAGTTCGAATCGTCAATTTGTTGAATTACATTTGCGCATTTTTTTTTGCGATTTAGAAAATATTTTTGCTATTTATCAAATAGTGTCTCATATTCAATTTATTTTCATTGAATCCCAAATTTTACTCAACATTTTTCTACGGAAATATGCTTGATTTAATGTAATTCAATTCTTGTTGTTCTTTATGTAATGAAATTAATTCAATTCGTATTTCTTTTTCCCTATTGCAGAGAAAAGCGAACGACCGAGCACCCGTGGACACCGCAGAAGAATTTAAAGTACAGTCGTCGTGCGTTTGATGGTTTGGTGAAGTTATGGCGTAAAAAATTGCATTGTTACGACCCGTCCAACATGAGCCATTCCGGAGCAACTGACGAGAAAAAGTGTTCAATTGTCACCGAAAATAGAAACAAAATGTTCCAATTTTATTTCTGCGTAGAAATTTCCATATGTAAAGAATAAGTAAATAGTTTAATGTTTCAAAACTACGATTTGTGAATTAAATAAGCAGAAAATGTTCAATACCACCTCAGCAAAAAGAAAGCCACTTACTTATTAAGCGAATAAAATATTGCAGCCTCAAATCCTTGCTGAAAATAAAAAAAAACAAAATCAAATTCAACTCGTACAACAACTAAAAAAGAAAAATCGAATTGAACATGTTCATTTTCCATTTAAATTTGTAATTAAAATTTTAATTTATTTTTAGAATTTTTTTTGTATTTTAATCGATCTTAAATACACTTAAAAGCCTATAAAAATGAAAAATTCACTTTATCTTTTGATTTATTCAACAACAACAAAATTGTATCTGTGATCGCCGAATAGAATATCGGATTTGGTATTGACGATAAATACCAGCACGAATGATATGAGCATAAAACCGAATCCGATGGCCAGCGTGAATGCTTCTTGGCACACTGGCGGCTTGAGGAAAATGCGAATATTAATCTCGCTCCATGTTGATTCGGTCCATATTGAATATCGGCCGGATTTCCAGTCATAGTCGTCGATGGAAAATGCTGAACTGCAGGCATTGGATAGGTTTTGTGTGGTGTATAGACATTCGCCTTTTCCATTGAATCCGGCAAACCAAGCCAATGGTAAAACGGTACTCGCAAAAAAATTGCTCATCACTTTGATTCGACCGAATTCATTGTTTGGAACGAATAATTTTCCGATCATTTTAAGCCTTTTGATTGAATATGACTCATGGAATATGGGGTCTTGAAATAAAAAAAAGATAATTGTATAATAAAAACAAACGTGGTTCAATTAGAACTTTTGAATTTCAGAAAGAAAATTCGATTTATTCAAAGAATTTAACAAAAAAAAAATGGATACGAAATTTCAGTTACATTTCAATTGATGTCGAACCTAATTACACATGTGTAATTTATTCGATTTGCTGTTCTCGTTCAAATATCGCCACGAAAAATCCGCAATTTATGCAAATAAATATTTTATTTTATTTTATTATATTTTTATTTGATTTAGGTAAAAAACAGTATAAATTACTGTAAATATTAAACTTACACAAAATATATTATCTGTGACACATCTTTCGATTCATTACCAAGTCATACACCAAATATGAGTAAAATCGTCATTTTAATTGCTGGATTAGACATATTCCGGGAAATACAAAATTGGTGTCTACATAGAACTTTTTGCTTGAAATGAATTATACTTTCTGATCAAATCATAAAAATGATGAGGAATTGCTTTTTTTAAAAAACCGAGTTTCTATAGCCGAAGTTAACTTTGACATATTAGGATTACTTCTGTACTGAAAAGGTAAGACACCAGTGTTTTGTTGATAGGAAGTTTTTTTTACCCTCAATTGTTTTTTTTACGGGAAAATCAAAAATATAATTTGTATATGGGTTAAAATTGGGTGTTGACTCTATTTTCGGGCTATGTTGCTCGCTTTGGCGATTTTTTTGATAATTTTCGCAATATGTCAAATTGAGTACAGGGTGCAATAGAATAATATAGGGTGTAACAAAATTGTGTGCCAATATTTTGACCAAGTATTGCTACGGTCAAGACCTATCCAAAATGTAGAAAGCAATTTTTCGAATTCGGCATCTATGCCGAAGTTTTGGCCGCCGGCGCATTTTTGGCCCAAATTCATTACAGTCGATTATGAGGCTATTGTGTTGGCATTTTTGGTCACAGCTTCATTAATATTGGATTATTTGAAAGGTATTGAGGCCACTAGATCAACCAACCCAAAAATACTGAACAAGTTTGAGTGAAGGGGTTAAAATTAACCCATACCGGTTCAACCATGAAAAATTGATGAAAATTGGGAATTATCTCAAGAAAATGCGTTATTAAAGTATCATTTTTTCATCATAGATTGAAAAGTCGTCGAATTTTAGGCCGATATGCCAATTTTCAGAAATCAATTTTGCCGTTAACCCTTTGACGACCTTTGGGACACATATGTCCCATTTTGTTTTTCGTCAATAATTTCCACATTTTTAGACCGATTTCGATAAAATTGGTTTCTTTTGAAAGAGAATGAATGTAGCTATCAGAAAGTACCATAATATTGGATATTTTACATCACTGTGCTCAAACAGAAC